TTCAGACGCAGTCATCTTATTCCTTTCCATTTTGTTATTTCAGAAATGTAGCCAGCTTTGCAAAGATGTGTGTATAGTTGCATTCAGGGGAGACAGGGTACTTGACAGCAGTCTGTATATGCAATAGTAATAACTTGTTATTAAAGACAAGGTTTTTTAAAGCTTAATATTTGGAATTTTAGAAGTTTGTTAAGCATTAAATGCACATTTACCTCACTCTTTTTTAAGCCTATCATAAAAACAATCCCTTATAAACACCCACATAAAGGAAATAGTAATGTCAGTTTTTTCCCAAGAACATAATTTTATAGTTACTGAAGTATAATATAGTAAGATTAATTTTTATTGGTTTCTTTACATTCCCTGGGGTTGGTTTGGAAACATAACAGCGTCTAGATTGATTTCCAACTTTGCTACAGATGGATAGCTTCATCTACAGAAAGGGAGGGACTTTTTTCTTCCTTTTGAAGAGGATCCATTCTGTTGTTTCTCATGGAATTATGCTTCTTTCCATGGAGAGCAGATTATGAAAATGTTTGATGAACACTTATGGGGCATAGAAATGAGGATTGTTTCATCTGTCCTACTTCCGTAGTAGTACTTCTAAGAGGACCTCTCGAAGCATGTGGAAGTTGTATGTCCTGCACATAGCCCAGCAAAAAAAAGTTGGACTATTAGGGCCTGGTTGAGAAAGGTGTTTATTCCTTTATTTTTAAATTTTTGTATTTTTATTTCTTTTTATTAGGGGTTGACAAAGTACAACCTCTAGGCCTCTGTGGCCCACAAGCCACAACTGGTTTTCACATTTTTAAGTGGGTTAAAAACAATCAAAAGAAGGATAATTTTGTGACACATGAACGTTTTATGAAATTTAAATTTCAGTGTCCATAAAGAAAGCTTTATTAGAATATAATTAGACCCATTCGTTCACATGTTGGCTATGGTTGCTTTCTAGCTACAACTGCAGAGTGGAGTAATTGCAATAGAGATTGTGTGGTCCATAAAGCCTAAAAATATTTACCATCTGGCCCTTTTACAGAAAAGTTTGCCAACGGTTGCCCTGTTTTACTCACATAAAAGTAGTTATTTATAGCAAACAGGTTTTTTAAAAAATACCATGCTTTTGTTTGTAAATGTAACGTCAGAGTAACCTACCCTAGTGACTCTTTTAGTTGTAGCATTCTTTTGATTTTGCTATAATCTCATTTTTCTCTTCTACTTTAAATGCTCTGGGGATAAAAATTTAATTTTTTTACATTCTGTTCTTGAGCTGGTCTGTATTAGTCTGAGTTCTATAGAAAAATAGAGCCAATTATATATATGTGTGTGTGTGTATATATAGATACAGCTCTAGATATATAGGCATATATTCTTTATACATATGGAGATAGCTTTATTTGTATACAGGTATATGATTTGTGTGTGTGTGTGTGTGTGTATACATATATATGTGTATGTTTGTTATAAGGGATTGCCTCATGAGGTTATGAAAGGTGGGAAGTCCAAGATCTGATAAGCTGGCAAGCTCTGACAGTCCAGGAGAATGAATGGTATAGTCTGATCTGAGTCTGAAGGCGTTGTCTCAGTTTAAAGATAGGCAAAGAAGGCGAATTCTCCCTTACTTATTAGAATCCCTTATTAGAATTATGGGAACTTTCTAAGTTGGTTCAGTTAAAATTGTCATTTGTCCAGCACTGAGTTGAAGTTGGATTGAATTGAATGATAGTTTCTCTATTTGTAGAGGGTAACTTGTTGTATTTTCCTCTGGTTTAATTAAGTGCTGTTTGTTAAGTATGTACGTCAAAGGGTGTATTTGTACGTTTCATTTTCTTGTATCATTTCCATTTCAAGCAGAGGTTCTAATACACAAGCTTAGTCATTTTGACATACTGTTAAATTGCTGGAGTGGATAGTCTGCAGCAATTCCCAAAGCAGTTTGCAAAAGCCAAGTTGATTGGCATGACATTTTGTCAACAAACCTCTTATATTAGAGTGTGTCAGCGAACAGCTGGAGTGAAAAGGAAGTGGATTTGTTTGTAGTGTGAGCTTCTTACTTACCCTTCATGTGACCCTTGCGAAATCCCCTGATCTCATCTATGCTGCTGTTTTAATACCCCCAGCAACTAGAGGCTGGTGGGAAGATTACATAAAATAAGGATGTGTGTGAATTGCACTGACATATAAGTATGTATTCATACTTGGTTTATGTTAACTGGCAAGACATCCCCCTCCTGGTAAATAATTTTTTTATGACGAATTTTATCAGTATAGAATGATGTTTCTGTGGTATATGTGATTTAGTCCACTTCTCAAGGAAATAATGGAAGTATCACTTGACCTTCGATTTCACTCTGTTGTTCCTGAAGTTAATTGATTCTGGAACAATGACTCCTTATTCACATAGTAGCTTGATTTCTACCTGAGTAACAAAACTTCACCAAATTAGAGTAGATAGTGGGGCCAAAGGAATGTTCAAATTGTAAACCATGTAAAGAAGTTTAGTACGTCCCCCTGAGGCCCTAGTTCAGGCGCTCTTTCCAGCTTAGTGTTTCATTGCCCAGGGGCATCGTGGTGGCTGTCCTTGCTGTTGAATCTTAGGTGATTATGAACCTTACATATTAGCAACTGGATTTGGTTCAGTGACATATATTTATCAAAAACACTAAAACAAATTTTGGCCTATGTAACACATTTTGGAGCAAATGTATAAATGTACTATCCTTGGGGTTTTTTTTTTTTTTTTCCATCCTAAAAATATCCTTCTATGACTCATTTTCTGGTTTGGGTAAGTGGCTCTAATATCTATATTTCTACCTTTTAATGAACATACTTATATATAAGCCCTTTCACCTGTTGCCTCTAGATTTAGAGTTCTGAATTTCTAGCAAAGGCCTTTTTCTCCCTTTACTGTTGTGTTCCTTTTCTCTGGACCTGTTCAATCCTGTTTAAATTATTGATGGTTTTCAGCCCGAAGTTTCTATTAAGTTTTTGCTTCCCTCCTCCCTATAAGATTATTGTATGTAAATATTTTCTTTGCTTTTACATATCCCCTCTAAGAAGACAAATAGGAATGATTTAGAATTATCACATTATCATCATACATAGATGCTCCTTGATTTGCTCTCAAATATGTTCAATACTCCTATGCTGATTTAGGTTCTTCAATCATTAATTTGCTCTTAAGGAAATTAATTGAGGTATGTTATGACTGAGATTTAATTTGATGAGATTTTAATTTAGAAATTTTACTAAATGTGAATTATCTGAGAAATTTTAACTGAGAACAGTTGTATTCAGCTAGACAATCATCATTGCTTATATTGTGGTCTTAGGGATGAGTTTAGACCCAGGCTTGTTGGGAGATACAAATAGGTGGCGGGTACATGCAGCAGCCACCATAAGGTGTGGCCTGAGCAGACCGTGGAAACAGTGAAATAGAACATAAAGTACCTGGTATGTAACTTCTTATCACACTTTCAAAGAAATTTTCCTAGGTCACACTCAGGTAAGAGTGAAGTTATTCTGGAATGTTAGCTGGCAGGAAAAGCATGTATGTGTTGTGAAAGCTGAGTTCAGTTTTGCCAGAAGCCAACAGAGGATTTATAACCAGTTGGGGTTTTCATTTAAAAAGCTGAGATTTTTTTTTTTCTGCTTTTATGTGATGGTTTGTACATACTTCAGTACCTTGTTTCCTTTTAGTATTTTCCTAGCCTGTGGCTAAGCAGTTAAAATAGATATATAACATTGACTTTTTCTATTACGTGGAAGGTGTTCAGATAATTAACAAAGGAAATCAGTAACGCACAACTCAGTTTAAGTGTCATTTTTTCTTTATGGTATGTTGTGCAGAAGAAAGAGAGCTAGCCTAAGAGCATTGGACTTCTGGGTGCTGTCCAGACTCCCCCGCCCCCCAGAGCCCCCCGGAAGCCCACCTGCCTAGTCCAGTGAATAAAACAAGTGCATGTCTCACTTCTTTTCAGTGTCCTTCAGGGATGTGCCATTATTGTTATTTTCTTGACACATTCTGTGAATTGCTAGATCAGGCAACAATATTGAAACATAAATATCAAAATACAATCTAAAATAGAGAGATATGTACTCCTGGCAAATGTGATTCATCCATCAAAATTTCCTTTTGAATTCCATTCCTTTACAATAGATTGAGTTGACTGTGGAAGCTCTCCAGCTAAACTTGAAGATGGCTTTCTTATCAAACTTACTTATTTTTTCATTTTCTTTTCAAAATGTCACCTATCTTGAGTTATTTCTTAGGAGGAAAACACCCATGCACATACAGATTTTTTTTTCCAGCATCTGTTTCTTGTTGATATTACAGTAATATCAAAGAACAGTTGATCCATTTGATTACTCTGTCAATCATGATAATTGCTGGGATATTTACAATTGCAATTCTGTACTTCTTAACATATTATTTTACAAACTTAAATTGAAAAACATGAAGAGGTCCCTGGTATTGAAATAGGAAGCCCTTGCTGTAAATGTTTATGGTAGTGGCACTTGTGTCATATCAAAACTGAAGCGGCATCATGTACTGGAGTGAGCCAGCTGACCTGAATTCTAGCCCCATGTCCACAAATAATTTGTTCCACAACTGGATAAGCAGCGTAACCTCTTTGGACATCATCTGCAAACTGAAGGTTTGGAGCTGAATATCAAGTTTCTTATAGATGCATAATCCATGAGAATAAGAAGGCGTTCTCTTCTATTCACAAGCTTGATAACACACTTTTACTCTTTGGTCATTCAGTTAGAGAGCTGAGAACACAGAAGGATAGGACAGACCCTCCTTGAGGTCTTATGGTCCAGTGGAAGGAGACAGGCCCAGTGATGAGATTTTTTTTTTTTTAAATGCCAATGTTGGCATAGTACTTAGAAATGTCATAAAATTTACTAGTTTATATGCCCCATTTCAAACTCAATCTAAGGAGGAATGTTTGTTCTAGAGCTAATGATATTTGCTTTTTGTTTTGATTTTTTAGGAGCATATTAATGAAAAGTGCCATAGACTGAAAAACCAAACATGAGGGTAGCAGGTAAGATATTTAATTTAGTAGAAGTAATTGTACTTTTTGTGTAACCTGTTTGTTAAAGAATGACTGAAGGAGAGGTTAAATAATCTTTCTCCATATTGAGAAAGTTAAGCTGAAATATAATAAACTAAATCATCCAGCCCATCATTTTTAGGTAGTTGGCAGATCACAAATTGGACATTTAGTCAATATTACATAAGTGTTTTGTTGTTGTTGTTCACGTCTTTTGTTGAAATTACACGTTGAGCATCTTAAATCTGAAAATCTGAAATGCTCCTAAATCCAAAACTTTATGAGCAGCAAAACATGATGCTCAAAGGAAATGCTCATTTGAGTATTAAGGGTTTCAGATTTTCAGATTTGGGATGTTCAACTGGTAAGTATGATGCAAATATTCTGAAATCTGAAAAAAAAATCCAAATACTATATATAACACCCATATAAAGAATGGTTTGACAACCTAGGGAGGCTGATTTTTGTTTTTGCTATGTTCTAGCTTCTTGAGAAAAATGAGTTATAAAGTTTTAAAGTTTAAATGTCTCTCATGTATGTACTTAAGATGTGTGTGAAGGATTCGATAAAATACATGTTTTTGCTCAGTCTTTGTTCAAGTTTAATCTGCATAGGTGAGATTATGTGTAAGAACTTTAATCTGTTTATTAAGCAGCATATTGAGAAAATTGAAAAACACCATTGGATGTTCATATATTAAGGTAGTTATGTTTAAATATTCTAAAAAGACACGTTTATAAATAACTGGAGGGGCTGATGACCTCTTCCTGTGTGTGTGTGGTAAAAATAAGTCTGTTTTTCCCCACCCTTCCCGTCAACCAAAGCCCTAGAAGAAATGCGTACTTTACATGGAAATTTCTACTAAGCTTGTGCCCAACATAGGTAACTTGTAATTTCTCAAAATCAAGATAGTTTTTTTCTTAATTATCATCTCACCAGCAAACCAATTATTTTCCTAAAGGAGCATCTCTTAGAAATGCCTAAAGTCAAGCTGGGTGAACAAACCAGTCTTCATACTGTGGTCATAATTGTGTAGAATCAGGCGCAATTGATGAAACATCATGATTATTAAACATAACTGAGGGCTGTTACAAATGCTTTTGTAGAAACTTGAAAAACTGAATCTCTTGTGAAATTATAAAGCATTTTTTTAAAAAGTAACTGTACAATTGTTGAAGAAAAATATTCTCAGAAACGAAGAGCTTGTTTGTGGTTTAAATAAATGTGTTGCAGTGTCTTTCTGTGTGCGTGTGTGTGTGTGGCGGGGGGGGGGGTTGTTCTTTGAGTACAGCAGGACTTACTATTTATGATTTCATGTCTCCAGATGATTTTTAAAGTACATTATTTAAGCATGGCAATTTGAAATAAAGTAACTGTTTCTCACATAATTTTAAATTCATGTTATTTGAAATTAAGTTTGTCATTTAGTCTGTTTCTCTGATTCTGACAATTCCCGAGTTAATTGATGAGTAATTATTCACTGCGTGCTTATTTTGTGTTTGGCACTGTTCCTAGTATAGGTCTTAAGGGAACTGCCTTGAATGAATGAATAAGGATAATTAGGTATTAGTTTATTGCTTTTAACTAATCTCTTCTAATTTTTTTTTTAATCTGATTGCTTTTAAATATCTTCATAGCCATTCTTCTTACAGTGAGGCATGAATGTCTGCAGTTTGTACTTTTTGGCCTGTGAAAAACTGGAACACACTCAGAATAGTGCCGTCCGTGACTAGGAGGAAGAGGGCATCTTATGGAAAACTAAGAATGGGAATTGTGGTTGGTATGGTTAGGCTCCATCAAGTCCAGAATGGGATGCTGGTTCTGGACTCAGGCCAGCTTTGGGGGCGATCTCTATAACAGAAGTTCCAGAACTCTAACCCCATGGAGACTCTGCTAGTTTCTCCACTTCTAACTTTTGTCTCGCTTATAGCTTTTCCTTCCTCCTAGTTCCTCTGATGGTTCAGTATAAGTGAATAGGTCTTGGTTTAAGACTCAGTGTTGCTGCTGACTAGTTTTGTGACCTTAGGCAAATGATGTAAAATTTTAGCCCTGTTTTCCTTATTTGTGAAAGGAAAATAATGCCTTGAAACGCTATGCAAATGAGATTATACTTATAAAGCAATTAGTTCTACAGAAGACACTAAGTAAACAGTGTATGTGAGTATTATATATATATATATAAAATGTTTGTATATAGCTTTTTGAAAACTTTTAGGCTCAAGGGTACATGTACAGGTTTGTTATCTAGCTAAACTAAATTGAGTGTCACAGGGGTTTGGTGTACAGATTATTTCATCATCCAGGTAGTAAGCATAGTACCTGATAGGTAGTTTTTTGATCTTATCCTCTTCCCACCCTTCACCCTCAAGTAGTCCCCAGAGTCTGTTGTTCCCTTCTTTATGTTTATATGTTCCCTTCTCAGTGTTTAGCTTTTGCTTATAAATGAGAACATGTGCTATTTGGTTTTCTGTTCCTGTGTTAGTTTGCTTAGTGTAATGGCCTCCAGCTTCATCCATGCTGCTGTATATAGCTTTTTTTCATGTAACCTTACATTTAGCTTGGTATAGAATTTAGAATATTTGTGTTATCGTCTTGGTGTTTTAATTTTTCAGTTTTGAACAATGAAATGTTCATATGATTGTTTTATGGGACAGGGAAAAGTTATCTCTGGTTGCATGTGCCTATGATTGCTAGAAAATAAGATGTTAAGACTATCATGTGACATGTAATTTTTGAGCTTGTGGTCTTAGTCTTAAATGATCAAGAAGGACTATGCCACCTGTTACCATTTATCTACTAGCAAACAATTGTTGATAGTGTTACTGTATACAGTGCACTCTGCTAGATCCTGGGGAGAAGAGTTCAAAGCCTAACATAATTTTGCTCTCTTATGCACTAAAAATATAGGCAACTTGTAAGTTGCTCTTGAAAATAGGAAGCAGATTTTGGAGGGGACAGGGTAGAAAATGGAAAAGGGAGGCAGGGATTGATTAATATTATAGTTAGACTTCCTCATTGCTCTTTCATTTCTACATTAATAGTGTTGCTTTTGGATTTTTAAAGACTTTGTTATTTTTAGAGCAGTTTTAGGTTCACAGCTAATTTGAGAGGAAGACGCAGAGATTTTCTACATACTCCCTGCCCCGCTCCCCACATAGTCATCAGTAGAATGTTTCTAAACAGAAATGAGTAGGCTGTGAGAAGCGGTGGCTTTCTGAGCATCATAACTTCATTGAAGAGTCTGCCCACTTGGAGCTTTCCATGTAACCGTGTTATGAAGCATATGTGATAGGTACCAAATTATATCCTGCAGGAATGCAGAAGGCCTGTCTTAAGGTACTAAGGTGTTAAGTATGAAGAGGAAGGCTTTGTTGATCACCATACCAGGAGAGCCTACATAGCTCCAGGAGATGTGTTGGTTAGTGATACGACAATAAATCTGTAACATGTCACTCGAGAATTCCTTGCTTAGTGGACATTGTGGCCTTAGCATCCCCAGAAGGTCCACTGTTTTTGAAAAATCCTGTATAGTATTGCTGCTTATTTTTGTGAAGGATAAGGAATCTGCCACTCAACAAACTTGGTGATGTTCCATTAGTCATGACACGTTTTTGTTGTCAGCAACTAGTAGGTAATTTTTTTTGCATGTAAAAGTAGGCAGATGGTTCAAGCAGTCCTTTGTCTAGATAGCTAGAAAATCTGAGAATTCTTTGGTCAGGAAAATTCTTTCTCTTGATGAATTGTTTGTATAATTTTTGTGTAGCTCATGTAAAATTAAGATCTAATAGATACAAAGTAGAAATTTATTAACCTTAAAAAAATTTATAAACATGTTTCATAGAAATGCAGAATAAATGTTCTGTGGGCTTACAAAGTTATGCTGAAATATTTCTGCCTTTTAGGTGCTGCAAAATTGGTGGTAGCTGTGGCAGTGTTTTTACTGACATTTTATGTTATTTCTCAAGTATTTGAAATAAAAATGGATGCAAGTTTAGGAAATCTATTTGGTAAGTTTTATTTTGTTCCTTTCTTAAATCTTATTTTTGATGTGGCCTAAAGCTTTATCAGTTACCAGCACTGAGTCACTCAGTGCTAGAAAAGGAAATGTAATTGTTACATATCCATAAATGTGATTTGTTAGAGTATTTTACGGTATATAATAAGATATCTTGGAATTAATTTAGTATAAAACATGAATCTTCTTTCTATTCAACATTTTGAATATATGTAATGAGTCTATTTTACACATTTTTAGGGGCATTAATCATGGCATTCTAAGTGCACATTCTAAAACATAAAATACCTCCAGGCTTAAATTGTTTTCCTGTTTGAGCTGGCTGCTAGAAAACTTGAAGCCAAATCTAGCCCTCAGTTAACCATATGATTAGGGGTCACAGTAATGCATTTTAGATACCAGCCATAGAAATCCATCTTGCAGCTGGCTGTGGTGGCTTGCACCTGTAATTCCAGCTACTCAGGAGGTTAAGGTGGGAGGATCACTTGAGCCCAGGAGTTCCAGGCGGCAGTGAGCTATGATCATGCTGCACTGCACTCCAGCCTGGGTGACAGAGTAAAACCTCATCTCTTAAAAAAAAAAAAAAGAAAGAAATCCATGGTGCTTTCTTACCCTTATTTTCCCTCAGTGGCATTTTTTTTCTAACCCACTCATTTAATGTTGCCGTACTGTAAATGTACCATTATAAGGTACCTTAACCCAGTTTTTTAACAGAATCCTTACGTTCATAAAATAACATTTGAAATGTTTTCAGATGAACCAGTTATACATAGTGCTATTGTAGATGATTGTGTGTGAGTATCTCATTGAATCTCAAATAATTGCCAAGTATGCATTTCTTTTCTATAAATATACCATTATGAGACTGAATAATAGAATTTAATTTTGACATATTAAAGTGGAAAACAATTATTTAACCAAGGCGCTATATAAGATTACAGTCATGCGTCACCTAATGTGGGGATACATTCTGAAAAATGCATCATTAGGTGATTTTTGTCACTGTGAGAACATCATAGAGTATACTTACACAAATCTAGATGGTATAGACTACCACACACCTTGGCTACATTGTATAACCTGTTCCTCCTGGGCTATAAACCTGTACAGCATGTTACTGTACGGAATTCTGTAGGCAGTTGAACACAATGGTAAGTATGTATCTGAACTTGGAAAAGGTACAGTAAAAACGCAGTACTATAATCTGATGGCACTACCACTCTCTGTATGGTCTGTCGTTGACTGAAACGTCATTAGACAGCACCTGACTATAATTCTGAATCTCTTCTGGAAACTGTTTTTGTAGACTTTTATTATTGAAGCTAGAGAAACCATGAGATTCTTCATAGATCCTTGTACCTACATTGAGTAAGCTATGACTAAATTGTTGCTTATAATATTAAATAATTAAGCATGAAAAGTGAGACTATAAACCCTAGAAACCATATTTTGATCTAGTAGGCAGAAGTCAAATGAAAGAACTGAGATCTCTGGACTACCAATTTTTGCTTTCCATAAATTCATATTTGAAAAGAAAAATCCCCAAGACTTAATTCAGTTTCTGTATTAGGTTCTCATGCTGCTGTGAAGAAATACGCCAAACTAGGTTATTTATAAAGGAAAGAGGTTTAATTGTCTGACAGTTCTGCAGGGCTGGGGAGGCCTCAGGAAACTTACAATCATGGCAGAAGGGTAGCAAACATGTTGTTATTGGTGGCAGAAAGGAGAAGTGCAGAGTGAAGCGAGGGGAAAGTCCCTTATAAAACCATCAGATCGTATGAGAACTCACTATTGTGAGAATAGCATGGAGGTAATTTCCCCCAGGATTCAATTATCTCCCACCAGGTCCCTCCCATGACACATAGGGATTATGGGAACTACATTTCAAGATGAGATTTGGTGGGGACACAGCCAAACCATATCACTCCCTTTCACATTTAATCTCAAGACTGTTATTCCAGTTTTTCTCAAACTTTAATTCACAAGAATCTCCAGAGAATCTTGGTAAATGCAGGTTTCTGAGTTGGTGTCTGGAGTGGGGCCTGAGATTCTGCATTTCCGACAGCTCCAACGTGATGTTGAGATCCCTGTCCATGGATTGCATACTGAGTAGCAAGGCTTTGGACAATTCTGATATGTAGTCTTCAGTTTTGGCATAAACCTTTTCAGGTGACTTTTCTTACAGCACTCCTTAAAAGTACTTTCTTGTGCAGGTTGAACATCCCTAATCAGAAAATTCAAAATCTGAAATGCTCTAGAATATGAAACTTTTTGAACATCAACATGACGCTCAAAAGAAAATGCTCTTTGGAGCATTTTAGATTTCAGATTTTTGGATTAGAGATGCTCAACTGGTAAGTATAATGCAAATATTCTAAAATCTGAAAAAATCCCATATCCAAAATACTTCTGGTCCTAAGCATTTTGGATAAGGGATACTTAACCTATATTGCACTGAATTCTGCCTTTTGTACTCCCAAGTAATTTCAGTTCACTGATCTTGTCTCTGCCAGCTAGGCCCCTTCTTCATCAGTGATCCCTCAGTTACATCGTAGTCATTGTCCGCCAGACCTTCCTTTACAAGTTTTCATCCTTTCCAGTAATGGAATCCTCCCTTTCAGCCATTTCTCTTGATAAACTGGTTATTTTCCTCCTAAACTTGTTTGTTTTTCAGCACACATCCTAAAATGAAGCATCCAGGTTCCAGCATAAAAGTAGTTATTGCAAAGTATAGCGAGATATTACTTTACTTGTTCTGGTCCGTGTACTTGTATTACTACGTAGTGGCCAGCCTGGTGGCCTTTGAGAGCACATCTGGTTTCATTTGAATGATGGAGTGGAAACTATATGGAAGGCATAGAGGACTTGTTCCATGTGGCTTTGGAAGCAGTGTGGATAGTTAATTCTTCTAAGACACGTTGATGGTAAGGGAAGCAGCTTATGAGATGGTAGTTTGACTCAAAAGCAGGTTGCACGTATTCTTCTTTTTTAGCGTAATAGACTTTCACTTGTCTATAGGCCTTGGATGAAAGTTCAGTGAAGGACAGATGAACGCCAAGAGACTGAACCAGCAAGGAAAGGAGGATGTTTGGGAGAAGGGAGGCAGTGGGACCATTGGAACAAATAGAAGTTACATGGGAAAAGACCCACTGTTTTTAGAAGATTGAAGAGAAGGTTGGGTGAAGCTACAGTGTGGTATAGTCACTGTGCACATGCAGCTGGTGGTTCCTCTCCGGTGATACCAGTCATGTCTGCCCTCATCCTTTGTCCCCCATCTTTGGCCCCGTTTGGATCTTCGTCTCTAATCTGGACTGTTTTTATGACCATCATAATGATGTTCCTGTGTCTTTTCTCATCTCTCATATCTGCCTATCTCGCCACTTTCAGAGCCATTTTCTTAAAACTCAGTAATCTTTAGTATTTCCAGTTACTAGAGGATAAAGTCCAAACTCCTTACTTAGGTTGGCACCCAAATCCCCCAGCCTGCCCTTCTCAGCTGTTCTTCACCCCTCCTTCCTGCGTGGGTCACACTGTTGTGCCAGTCTGCATACAGCTTCAAATCCCCTCCTGTCCTTTCTACCCTGGCCTCTGCTTGTCGTGGTTCCTCACCCTGCACATCTTTCTCATTTTTTAGAACTTTGCATAAATTCCCCTTCTTTGGAATAAATTGTGTTTAAACCTCCCTCTTTAAGAATATATTGCTCCTTTTTTCTGAACATTTTTTCTAATTGCATAGTAGTTATATTTCAGTTTGGCACTGATTTTAATCTGCCTTGCATTATATAATTTTTTTTCCTTTTTTCCTCTTTTTCCTGTGTCTGTCTCCCTTCACCCAAGAGTGAGTCTTAAGGGCGATCTTTTGGTGCTTCACCCAGCATCTAGCACTGGGTGCTGCAGATGGTAAATGCTGATTGAGTGAAAATAAATGTAGGTAACAGAGAATTAGGATTTCTACATGGAAAGGAATATTTCCAAAGTGGGATTCACATAAAGCTGTATTAGTTGGAAAATCACTGGTAGTCACCTATGAACAGATGTTGAGCTACTTTAATCTCCTACTTTTTATTTTTTGATTTTTCCTGATGTTGAGAACCTGCAAGTGGTTTTGTGTGCATTTTAGCTATTTGATTTAGACATTATTAGGGCAGATGGTTATTTTCATTTCAAAACTGAAGTGTAGTATTTTGTAACCTTACTGGTTGCCAATCTATTGAATTGGCCAAAATTTAACTGTGTGGTTTTATTCTTAGGGAAGATGAATATATGGTTATCTGTGTCATTTGTGTAGCATCTTAGTATATGAAAGGGTAACATGTTTAATCCAGTAGGAGGATTCTTGCTATAATCGTTATCTTAAGGACCATAAGATTAAAAACAGTTCTTTTGGTGATTAGTTTTCCATTTTGTAACTTACTTGACAGTTTCTATAAATTACGTAGATTTATGTTTATTGTATATATTATTTTAGAAAAATAAAACACATTTGTAGAAAGGAAGAATGACAGTTTTTCCCACAATTAGTAGTTGAAATTAGCAGTGTCAATTATGAATTTTAAAAACAATTTTTTGTGAAACTTTATTTTAAGATGATTGTATTATCTTTTACAAATCCATTTAAATATACAGAGAGATGGTGCATACTGTTTCCTCATTTTCTGCCATTGGTAATAGCTTACAAAACCATAATATACTGTCACAATCAGGACATCAACACGGATACAATTCACCAATCTTATTCAGATTGTGGGTTAATGTAGTGTTTGTTTTCAGTGTGAATACTTAGCTAGTAAATGAACTGAATACAGTCCAAATTATTTTTGTCTGTATTGCTGCAATAAGTACTTAATGTTCTTTTTTTTTTTTTGAGATGTAGTCTCACTCACTCTGTTGCCCAGGCTGGAGTGCAGTGGCGCAATCTCTGCTTACTGCAAGCTTCTCCTCCCGGATTCATGCCATTCTCCTGCCTCAGCCTCCTGGGTAGCTGGGACTGCAGGCACCCGCCACCACGCCCGGCTAATTTGTTTTTGTATTTTTAGTAGAGACGGGGTTTCACTGTGTTAGCCAGGATGGTCTCGATCGCCTGAGCTCATGATCCGCCCGCCTCGGCCTACCAAAGTGCTGGGATTACAGGCGTGAGCCACCGTGTCTGGCCATAAGTACTTAATGTTCTATTGAATTTATTTATTTTCACCTTTTCAGATTTAAACCATTGATATATAGTGTATAAATTACTTGAGACATTATTAAAAACTAAAGTACAAAATAGTTCTGATTCATTAGCCCGACTTACTGAAAGACATTTATTGATGAAATGCAATAACAAATGTTTATTATTGTTCCTTGCAGTTAAATGTATATGCAGAAAGAAATTGAGGATTAAAGCTATCAGTGTAGTTTGAGGGGAAAAAATTGTAGGAGAGGAGGGATTTTGGTGTTTCTATGTTGTGCTTGTATTCTATACTTGGACCGCTGTTTATGAAAATTAATGTACCTGTTTGGCCACTGGATGCTAATATTTTCAGAATTGCAGACTTAGTACAGGGCTTTTGATTTTGATGTGTATTGGATAAAAATGAGCTTTCTTCTGGAAAGAAGTCTTTCACAGGAGTTTCTTCACCTTAAAGCATGTACTCTCCTTACTCTTACACAAATTAAATGGACGTGATGTTATTTACTTAGTAAATGCCTGATGATTAAAAAACTGATTTTCCCGAAATCGTATCCCAGTAAAGTTTTTTTTTCCCTCAAACCGAGTGTAGATAAGGTTTGTTTTCTGCTTTGTTCTGGGCATTAAGCTTTTTCAATGTTTTATTACCTTTATGACTGTAATAGTGCATAATATTCTACTGAGTGTTCTATTGAGTTAATGAACTTTTATTTACTTGGTTATTTTCCTCTTTTTAAACATTTCAATACAGTCTTTTAACTTTCAGCTTACCAGTTTGAGTATTGGACCTACAGGAAATTCACAATTATCTAAAATAGTACAGAACTAAAATTGTGTGACTATTTATAGCAAGACAGCTGGTTAAGATTTATCACACTGCATACTTATTAGTCAAATCAGGAAATGGCTGTCCACAGTACTTTGATGATCTGAGTTATAATCTCTTGGGCTGGGATCAGATGTTAGTGCTTTTAAAAAGCCCTAACTATAATTATGATAGATGGTCAGGTTAAGAACTACTACATTCAAGTTAAGATTTGACCTCATGGTTTCCTTGATCTGATAAATTATAAATCTTTTAGTAGTGACCTTCCTCATCCCTCTCCCTGGCCCTCGCAATCTCCTGACCTCACCACTAAGATAGGTTCCTGTATGTTCTCTGGGGCTTTTGCATATCTTCACAACACCATACAGCAGCAACAACTTTTAAACACCATCATATTCACCAAATTTATGTTCATAAACATTGAAAGGTAAGTTTGTAGAGTAACTTCCTGATTGAAATTTAAATTTATAGTAAATAAAATCCAAAATAAAATGGAAAGGGAAAAATAAAATGTTTTATCAGTAATAAAATACTACCCTCCATAATTATTTAATAGTTTATAATGAATGTACAGGGTGAAGTTCCTTTCTCACTTTTTCTTAAGAAGTGATATTCATGTTTTATTGTATACTGAATGATTATTTGAACACTTATTTTTGTGGGCCTAAATATAGTTTAAAAGTGGATACTTGCCAATAGGCTAATTCCTTCTAACAAAAGTAATTTTTTTTTTTTCAGCAAGATCAGCATTGGACACAGCTGCACGTTGTAAGTATTTCATCTCAATTTTTTATGTGTGATTTATTCTGCCTTATCTTAGGCATATGAGACCTTATATTCAAAGTGTCAGTATTTCAGTGTGAGGAAAAACTGATTTAGAAATGGCTTTTTAAAGTTACAAGGATGCTATTTGATTGGACAGCCCAAATACTTTTTGGTAATTATTCATGATGGATGTTTTGTGTTTTTCAGCTCCATTATTATAAGTACAGAAATTGGTGTGAGGAGTAAGAGACAATACTGTACATGGGCAGGTAGTCAGTGGAACATTAGGCTTTTTGTAATGATCCTGGAGGTGACGATTTTTTGTGCATATATGGACTAGAAGTGCAAAGTAACATTCAGAACCTCCCACATCCTGAAATTTAAAAATAAACTCATAGTTAGATAAAATATATTTACCATAATGAAGTTCGTATTACTTGACCCATTTACGCCCATTATTAATTTGTTTCCTAGGAAGTTCTGGCATCTGTTGTGGGCTTTTTTTTGCTGTTTTTTTTAAAAAAAAATTTGAGGTTCTTTGAAACCCTCAGGGGAAAAAATTAGCTTGTAATTTAATATATGTGTATTTTGATGTTTTACATAATGCCCTTTGTGGTTTGAGATTTGAAATAAAGTGTGGGAAAGTCTATTAATTTGTTTTCTTTAAAAAGAAATCATATTTTCTCCCCCAAAGCTACAAAGCCTCCCAGATATAAGTGTGGGATCTCAAAAGCTTGCCCTGAGAAACATTTTGCTTTTAAAATGGCAAGTGGAGCAGCCAACGTGGTGGGACCCAAAATCTGCCTGGAAGATAATGTGTAAGTATTTGGTGACTGGAGACTCTAAAGTGTGCTGTTAAATTACAGCCAGTTGAACCTGAGTTTAATGGATATTTTGAAAATGTATTAGGCATACTTTATTAATGGAAAGTGATTTCAGTTTTTATTATACAGTTTTTTTCTCATGAATTCAAGGGGCCTTAAAGTTCTTAAATTTTAATAACACTTATTTGGCTTGATAGAGTTAAAAGATTTCCTCTGAGTGAATTCTCTAGATATGCACTGTTCCATTTACTAGCAACAAAACACAGGTGGCTATTTAATTTTGATCCTTAAATATTAGGAAGAAAGTTAATTCACTTAACTAAAAGTTCAGTTCCTTGATATCCATCACCACATTTCAGGTGTTCAGTGGCCACATGTGGCTCATGGTCACCAAATGGAACAGCAGAGAGAGCATTTTCATCATGGCAAAAATCCTATTTGCAACATTGGCCTGGACAATGAATGCGTTCTCTTATAAACCAATATCTTTCATTTAAAATATTTGAGTGCTGCTTGTTGAAGTGTGAAATAACCTCAGTTCCATTGCAGTACAAACTGCTTGCCTCTAAGCTGAATGGTTTCCTATGTCGAAATGCTTTCTAAAGGATGATTTTTAGGATTTTTAGTATCCTACCTCAGTGTCAACTGTTGCTTGCAAGTTCCTGCTGCTGAAATTGCAAACCCTACTTTTAGTTGGTTGCTTTTAATATGCTATTGCCTAGAAAACTACACATGGGAGCTTATTTAAACTTAATATAAAATAATAAATTTGTCACTAATTATATAGAATAAAGAGATAATTTTATAGCAGAGAGGAGACCTAGGCAGCTTTTCCTGGCTGTTTATGTGCCTCTTCTTTTAATATAGAAGCTCTTAAATTTTTATCCTAGCCTCCTTTGCAGGTAGTTAGCTGTAAGAAGTTTATTGAGCCTCATGGGGCAACAGTTTTCTTGTAAAATTAAGGGCTTGAGCTAGATGATCTTTAAGGTCTGTACTGATTTCCTTTATTTTCCTGTATTCTAATGATGATTTACTGTTAATCCATGTGTTTTCTGATTTCTCATTAGGATAGTCCTGTTTTACTGACATGTAATAAGGCACTTGAATTTTAGAAGTTTGTAGGTTTTTGAAAACATTCCCATTTCCACTTTTTATCTTGTTTGGTTAAATAGACCCCAGATTTGATTCTAAATAACAGGAACAAAGTTCTTTTAGAATACCTAACCCATAGATGACCTTGGACATCTATTCTGCCCCCTCGATGCATGTAAATTTTAGTTCAGAGAAGAAGAGATCAGACTATTTTTACTAGCAGGTTTTTAATTCACAGATTAAAACTGTAAACAACAAAACACACTCAGAAAAAAAGCTCAACTGTTTACCCACATGGCCTACAAGTTCCTATGTGTCCTGACCCTTATTCACTTCTCTCCAGATCTTCTTGATCTTGGGACCTTGGAGCATGCTATTCTGTCTAGGATGGTCTTTCCTCACTCCTCACCTGGCTGTCTTCTTGTCCTTTGGTTCTCAGAGTACACTTCACTGTCTTAGAAACTATTCTCTATCCCTCAACCTAAAGTTGAACAGCTAAAGATCTAAGGTCGAAAAGAGAACAGTGTGTAGACAGTGGAGCTTGGTAAAATACATACTGGGCTTAGAGCCAGAGAATTTGCTTCTAGCATGGTGGGCATGTCATGTAGCATTTGTGTTTCAGTTTCTTTAACCATTAAATGAGGCAGGCCACGTATCCATCCTTATTTCAGGAACCATTCTGCCATTACCTTGAGAGATTAAATATTTGGTGGGATTTTATACCCAAGTCTCAGGTTAAAGTCCAAAGAAAGAGTCTTAAGTTTTTTGAGAGTCATTTATTCACCTGTTCAGCAAGTATTTTTGAGCATAATCCCTCCTGTTATGGAACTTACAGTTTAGTAGGGGTGACAAATGTTTAACAAATATGTACTTATAAATTGTGACACCAGGCCAGTTGCGGTGGCTCACACTTGTAATCCCAGCACTTTGGGAGGCTGAAGCAAGTGGATCACCTGAGGTCAGGAGTTTGAGAGCAGCCTGGCCAACATGGTGAAACCCCATCTCTACTAAAATACAAAAATTAGCCAGGCATGGTGGCACGTGCCTGTAATCCTAGCTACTCGGGAGGCTGAGGCACAAGAATCACTTGAACCTGGGAGGTGGAGGTTGCAGTGCGCCAAGGTCACACCACTGCACTCCAGCCTGGGCCACAGAGCGAGACTTTTTTTTTTTTTTTGAGACAAACAAACAAATTGTGACTCCAGCCCTGCAGGGCGGCAGGGTGTGATGAGTACTGGCAAGAGTGGATGGAAAGAGGTGTCCACCTTTGGTCGAGGGTTATGGAACAGTTTCTAAGACACTGATGTGTATTCTGAGATCTGAGGGATAGAAAGGAAGACCATCCTAGACAGGAGGAAAGAGCCTGTTCGAAGGCCCTAAGATTGGGCAGCTCTGGAGGGAAGTGAATTAGAGCCAGGCTGCATTGGAACTTGTAGGCCATGCAGGTAAAGGGTTGAGACTTTTTTTCTGAGTGCATTGAGAGCTTGTGGAAGGATTTCAGATTCAGGCATGTCGTGATTTTACTTATATTGAGAAAAGTTATCTGGCTGCTGTGTAAAATAATTAAGGAAGTGGAATAGAGAGGACAGTTGGAAGGCCATTGTCAGTTACTGCCACAGCTCTTTGATACTGCCTCCCTATTGCTAACAGACTTTATTGCTTATACATTCACTAAAATATATGAGTAGATAATAAAAATAACATAAGCAGATAATTTAATATTTTCAGAGCACCTGCTCTGAGTACATGTAACTCATTTTGGAGACTGCTATTCTTGTGTCTCAATGGGGGCAGTTTTGTTCTCCAGGGGACATTGTAATTTTGGGTTGTCATAGCTTTGGAGGTACTCCTTGTAGAGGCCAGAGATGCTGTTAAACATCTTTCAGTGCAGAGGTCAGCTGGTCCACAAGAATTATCAGGCTCCTAAAATGAGAGGCCAGGTTTGAGAAACTCTGATGCAGACAGATGATAATTATGATTAGGATGGTGGTCATAAGTAGATTAAGTCAAAATATATTATGGAGATGAAGATGTGTTTTAAATGTCTCAGTTAGAAATAGAAAATCGCAGGTGTGAACCTAAGGTGTCAGGAGAAACAGTAATTGCAGCTTTTTTTTTTTTACTTTACTTTTTTTCTTTTCTTTTTTACCTAGAGACAAGGTCTCATTCTGTTGCCCAGGCTGGAGTACAGTGACGCAATCTTAGGTCACTGCAACTTTGAATGCCTGGACTCAAGCGATCTTCCCACCTCTACCTTCTGAGTAGCCGGGACTAACGTGCACACCACCACACACAGCTAATTTTTCTATTTTTGTGGAAACGGGGTCCCATTGTGTTGCCCACGCTTGTCTTGAACTCTTGGGTTCAAGCAGTCTTCCCACTTCCACCTCCCAGAGTGCTGGGATACAGGTTTTTTCTTTCTCGTTAGAGCACCCATAGAGCTGACTTATATTCCAATTATAATTTTCATCTAAGGCATATATTCATTTGATTTCAATTTGTATGAATTTGATGTTAGGAATAATTCATTACTTTTGATTTTAATGGTAATGTTTGCTGCAAGAATATGAGATTATTTTGAGGGTTTTTTTTTTTTTTCTTAACAAGGGATCAATGTTTTTGGCTATGAAGGCAAAGAGGTAAAATCAAGATTATTATATAGGTACTTATATAATCATTTAAAATGTAACCATTGAAAAATGTAAAAACTGTTCTAAACTCATGAGTAGTAAAACAAAACAAATAAAAAAACCAGTTGGCGGGATTTGGCTCGTGAGCTATAGTTTGCCAAGCCCTGCTTTAAACTAACCATCCTAAGAGGTAGTAACTAGAACATGGAGTAGCTATTTGAAACAAAACTATACTTGAAGATATCAATTATTTCTACAGATGATATAATCATTTCCTTTAGAATTTTGCCTGGAGATGTGGGGAGGGGCACCTTATATTCATGAAGGATGAAAGAAAATATCTCAACTTGTGTTAGTAAGGGTGACTAACCTTTATACATTTTAAATATCATTGGGTTTTTTATTTGTTAGAGATTTTCTGTTTGAATTTCAGTTTTTAAAAATTGATAAGCTGCTGCCCTCTTGTGGGAAGCCTATGTCATTGTGCTTCTTTGTTACCTTTATTTCTTTGCTTTATGGTAGATTTCAGTCTGTAAAATGCAACATCATACCCCTAGATGATCTTTACTTGGAAAAGTCACTCTGGCACTTAACCTGTTAATCGCAGCAGTTACTTCTTAATGATAGAGTTTACTTATTGAATGTATTTCTGAAGGAAACAGAACAATGCATTTTGAAACTTCTCTTTGGTGCAGCTGAGCCAATAGTTAAGTAATGAAGCATAGAACTTTTTAAATGTATGTGCTCCAAACTAGTGCTTTTAAACAGCTTTGAGATATAATTCACATGCCATCCATTTCACTCATTTATATTATACAGTCAGTGGCTTTGTATATTCACAGATATATGCAATCTCTGCCACAGTCAATTTTAGAACATTTTTATATCTCAGAAAGAAACTCTGTACCCCTTAGCTAATACCCTTCTGTGCCTTTCTTGTCCTGCCCCACTTCTCCACCCTCAAACCCTAAGTTAACCATTAGTTTACTTTCTGTCTTTATAGATTTGCCTATTTTGGACAGTTCATATAAGTGGTATATAATATTTGGTCTTTTGTGATTGGCTTCTTACCGTAATGTTTTCAGTCTTCCTCCATGTTATATCATGTATCAGAACTTCATTCCTTTATATCTGAACGATATTCCATTGTATGGACATACCACATTTTGTTTACCCATTCATTAGTTGGTAGACATTTGAGTTGTTTCCACTTTTTAACTATAATGAATAACATTAACAGAAACATTTATGTACACATTTTATGTGGACATATGTTTTTATTTCTTTATACTCCCGGGGAGTGGATTTTGTTTCAGATGGTAACTCTGTTTAATTATTTGAGGGACTGCCAGATTGTTTCCCAAAGTGGCTGCATCTGTTTGCATTTCCACCAGCAGTGTATGAGGGTTCCAATTTCTCCACATCCTTGCCAACACTTGTAATTATCTGACTTACTGATTATAGCCAGCCTCGTAGGTGTGAAACGAAATCTCATTTGCATTTCCCTGATGATTAGTGATGTCTAGCGTCTTTTTGTGTGCTTATTGGCCATTTGTATGTCTTCTGTGGAGAAATGTCTATTCAAACCCTTTGCCCATTGATAAATTGGATTGTTTCTTTATAATTGAGTTGTAATTTCTCTTTTGATTAATGTTTGCATGATATGTCTCTTTCTACCCTTTTATTTTCCACTGCCTATATGGTTATATTTAAAGTGAGTTTCTTGTAGACAGTGTGTAGTTGGTTCCTGTTTTAATTCACTGTGCCAGTTTCTGTCTTAATTTGGTATGTTGAAACTATTTTCATTTATAATAATGATTAACATGTGAGGGTTTAAGTCTACTATTTTATTATTTGTTTTTATTTTCTCTTTTTCCTGCCTTCCTGTGAGTTACATGAACATTTAAAAAAGTGTTTCTTTTGATTTATTTATAGTATTTTTGAGTGTGTCTCCATATAGCTTCTTTAGTGCTTTCTCTCTTTACAGAAAAAGTTTGCAGACTCAAGTTCTAGACTTTAGGTCTTCAAGTGAGGGAGAAAATATTATGCAGATTAAATTGGAAAATATGTCATATCTATATCTGTTAAATGGTGGATAGCACCAAAAATATAGGAAGTAGTCTTCCAGTATTTGAAAACTTATTATCTGATTCAGTCATCATTGACAGGCAAGTGGAATTTTAACATGAATCTTCATTATTTGTTTTTCTTTATTTTATCTTACCCATTAGCATAGATCCAACATTTGTTAGAACTGAGCTCATTCATCAATTGCAACCATAATTTAGCTGCTGATGTGAGTTGTTTGAAAAATCAACTAAAACATTCTGTGAGAATCAATTGACTGAGATTTATAATAAAGTACATTGTAGATTTTATTTGTGAAATTGTGCACTATACATCCTTCATATCAGTAATTTATAATAAATTATGTGCCTATGTGTGTATATGATTCTGTCAATATATGGACATGTGTGTGCACGTGTTGTCACATTTTGCATATTGCCTCTCTCTCCTAAGCACAGACCAGTTGTTAAATATTTAACAGCACACCACTGGGAGTATTACTATTACCTTGAAGTTTTGAGTTAAAAGAACTCACAATTTTAGTTTAATAACTCTGATTTGAGCAATTGAACAAACTGAACTGATAACCAGCAAATGTGTCACTGGTACCTTACATTTTACAGTGTCATTGTCTTTATCTAGTGGTCAGAGCTGCCCGTGGAAGTCAATTATCTCAGGTAGTCACCATGTAAGTGACTGTTATTCAATGCCGTAATTTCATGAGTGCAATATTTCTTCTTAGTGTGGAGGAACTTTACGGTGATAATCACTAGGAGAATGTTCACAATTAGGTAAAACATTCAGGAAAGAGTGCTCCCTCACTCTGTTAGCTTTTAGATTTTAAAAGATGGGGGTAGTATCTCACTTCTGTTTCATGTCACGCTGGTATTGAAGAGAGCAGAAAGGAGATTATCTTTTGTTTGATACCTGAAGAATGGGGCAGAATATGTGCTTAATGTACGTTTTAAGAGTAATCTGAAGCAGTGCAGCACAAAAATGGTCTATTATTTCAGGCCTAATATTGTTTAATATATATTTCTATTTGTGAAATATTATTTAAGGACATTGCCTTAAAATTATTCAGTATTAGACTGTCTTCTCTGAGTTAGTAGAGATCTTTTTAATTTCCTCTGCAGCACTGAACAATTGAAAATGTGTATAATATTCCTAACCTTTTTTGCAAGACTTTATTTTTCTGATATGTCATTGTACAATATTTAATTCTAAATTTATTTCAATTTCTCCCCCTTCAGTTTAATGAGTGGTGTTAAGAATAATGTTGGAAGAGGGATCAATGTTGCCTTGGCAAACGGTAAGAACAATTATTTTAGCCTATGGATGTAATCATTTTTCTGTCCCGAAGTAAAATGCAGTATCAGAGGATCAGGTTAGAAAGTGCTGCTCTTGATGATAAAGCCCTCTCTCCCATCCCTGCCCCACAAAAAAATCTATAGGTGGAGACTTGGTGTCTAAGAATTTATAGTGTGTTGCTTGAAAGTATCCTAACTTGCTATGCAAGAACTTCCCATGAGATTGTCATAAAACAAGCAGTCTAACATCACATCACATTGATAAAATCTTGCTTCGCATTTTGCAATCCTAACATAATAGGAAGATAGGTTGACAGGATTAAAGGTGTGTAAAATGACAAAGGATAGTGGACTGTTAAATGGTGTAGGCGAAGGAACAAAGAATAAGAATTTATTGTAATTTTTCATTGTCGGCCACATTCTTCTGATAGCTTAATTAGTATGAATAAGTTCATTGCATCCTGAACATCTCAAATTTTCCTTCAAAATCAAATCTGAAAACCTGAAACCATGAAGTAAAGCCTAACTGCATATTGATCTTCTCTGTTCTGGTACAATAAGTATTCCATAAAGCTGTGTAGGATGGTTATAAGATATATAGGATGGTTAGAAACCACTGTAGTTTCATAGTGTAGAAAAATATGTTTTACTACTTTCACAACAAGAGGTAAATTTTTATGTTTCTACTTTCTTCATTTCCTTAGGTAAAAGGTTCAGCATCTATTTGTCTATTTCATTAATAGCAAAAAATACATTTTATAGAGCAAGTTAATGTAAATTTTATTGTAAAAACTGATTTAATGTAGAAAATGGCATCTGATTCAAGGAGATACTTCTTTTCTGTAAAAGATTTACTTTTAAACTAACAGAATATGGAAACAAGGATGACATATATCTAACTGAATTGGAATGGTCCACAGTCAGTAATAAACTTCTATTTATCCTTTGGCTTAAAAGATTAATGAGAAAGTTGTATTAAAAAATTACTCTTTAAAAATATATTTCAGGTGTGTATGATTCAGATTTTAAGTTGTTCTCAAAGTAATTCCTTCTCTGCTAGTGAATTCACATCAATCATTGGATAAGATTATTGGTTTTACAGTGTATGATGTATTTCAGATGCATAATTTGATATGAATTTAATCTCTTTTAGGAAAAACAGGAGAAGTATTAGACACTAAATATTTTGACATGTGGGGAGGAGGTAAGTGTAAATAACATATGACTCTGTGTTCTTTTGCTGGCACTGACTTAATCACCTCAATACAATGTAGTCCATTAATGAGAGAATGATGATGCTATTTGTGTTAGTTCATTTTGTTTCCCTTACTTTCTGTTCACTAAATGTCCGGCTGTATTTAAGTTATCATTCATGTTTTATATACTTTGTTCTTCTTAGAAGAAAATTTTTGTGGTATGTAATTGAAGACAGTAATATCAAAATTGAGATTTAAAAAAAAATTTCATCTTGTTTTCTACAGGACAACCAATTCAAAAGTTTGGGGCTCCTTTAGGTTTCTGTCTAAAATTAAAAAAAAAAAAAAAAAAAAACCAGAATAACCAATGTAAGCATTCCTAAGTGATGGAAATTGATTTTTTTACATGTGATTTTTCAGTCTTAAAAATATCATAACTAGGAGCATTAGAAAGACATGATAAACTATCAGTTTTAGAAAAGCAATCCTATTATTCATCACAGTTCTACCCTCTGACTTGTGGCTAATTTTTTAGGTAGATGAATATTTGAGGGAAGAAATAGAATTTTCTTTCTTGTTAACTGGATGTAAAGCAATCCACAGATATTTTCCCTTTCCATATTTGGAAGTCCCACAAGGAGTGGGAAGAAGTTACCAGCATGTAGAGGCAAGGGACTGGCACCCCAAAGAAGAACGCTGCCCAGAAGGATGGGTTTTTTCTCTCAAGTTTGAAGGGAGGCCAACACTGGTTTATCTTTCGATTCTGTAATTTGGGAGATTTATCAGTATGAGGATCTCCTCAGCACCTCCCCATTCCTTTTATATATTCCCTAGAAGCCAACAGCTATTAGGCTTCCTGAAATTCATGTTAAGAGTTCTCAGATAATTTAGCTTTTCTAACATATCTTCAGCTTGTAATAAGATCCATGTAGCCGGATGCGGTAACTCACGCCTGTAATCCCAGCACTTTGGGAGGCTGAGGTAGGCAGATCACCAGGTCAGGAGATGGAGACCATCCTGGCTAACATGATGAAACCCCGTCTCTGCTAAAAATACAAAAATTAGCTAGTTGTGGTGGCATGCACCTTTAGTTCCAGCTACTTGGGAGGCTGAGGCGGGAGAATCCCTTGAACCAAGGAGGGAGAGGTTGCGGTGAGCCGAGATCATGCCACTGCACTCCAGCCTGGGCGACAGAGTGAGACTCCATCTCAAAAAAAAAAGATGCCGTATATTATTTTGTTCCTAAATAAGGTTAGGAGAACATTGCATAGCTGTCAAAGCTGTATAAACTTAAAATGTGACCATTGATTTTAGATTCTAAAGGCATAAATTGGTCCTGCCAAAATTTGTTGATAGAAACAGTCTTACAAAGCTGTTGTTGAAATCAGTCATGTGACCAGGAGCTCTGGTATTCCCTACTTCCCTTGTCACAGGTAGATTAATTACCGCTAGAAGCATTCTTCTAGTTAGGAAATTGTTGCAGTTTATTGCCACCTTTGCATTTCAGTGGAAGTAATTTGTTAGCTGCCTTGTTATATCTTTTTGAATTGAAAATGCTATTATGAAATATAATCAGTTATCAAAAATCTTTGGAATCTTTGCTGCGGAAAGAAACTGAGTACATTTGAAGTAACCCAGTTTTGGAGTTGAATTAGACTTTAGAGCTATAAGGAATCCTGACGCTGTAAAGAGTTCAAGATGTTAAGTGGTTTGTAGAATCTGACCTATATATGTGGCATCAACAGTTTATAGTCACTGAAGTGGTTTATTTTGGAGTCCTTGTGGATTTTGATTCAGTAGATAAAATGAGTAGTGACTGTAATATTTGCTACAATTAGTTTGGCTTTTAGTGATCACCTAACCTATATTCCTTCTCCCAGTTTATAGCAAGTGATATACCTAAAATATTCTTTAAATCTGTGCGTATATGTATTTTTAGATTTTCTAAAAGTTACGGATATCTTTGAGAATCGGAGAAAAGCTGTGTATCCGCTTTCTAGTAAAGTACCGATACAAACAATGTTATGCTTTTTTTCGTTTTGGGTGTGTTTTTTTGTTTTGTTTTGTTTTGAGACAGGGTCTTGCTGTGTCACCCAGACTGGAGTGCAGTGGTGTGATCTCAGCTCACTGCAACCTCCACCTCCTGACCTCAAAGCAGTCCTCCTGCCTCAGCTTCCTGAGTAGCTAGGACTACAGGCATATGCCACTAAACTCGGCTGATTTTTAAATGTTTTTGTTGAGATGAGGTCTCACTATATTGCCCAGGCCGGTTTCAAGCTTCTGGGCTCAAGCGAGCCCCAGCCCTGACCTCCCAAGGTGCTGGGATTACAGATGTGATTCACTGTGCTCAGCCCATACAAACAATTTTACATACACTTAGGGAGTCCAGAAACCTCCTTTTCAGGATCTCAATTGTTCAATCTGAGAGATCTCTAAATTTCTTACTTCATAAGTCATGCTTTAACGTGACTTTGCTATGGTATTTTTCACTTAGCCCCAGGAATATCAGTACAAAAGACACAGGATAAATCAGGAATGGGATGGGAAATTATAAGTTGATGCTGGGATTATATTAAGGGACAAACTTAACAGTTTTTAAACGCTTAATAAGATTTGTCTGTCTTTTGGATTACATTGGAAATTATTGCTTTACAGATACTTCATGTTTTATAATACTACTTTTAGAGATTATCAAGATGGTTATTCAGTCATTTTTTAAAAACCTCAACCCTTTCTTTTTCTTCAGATGTGGCACCATTTATTGAGTTTCTGAAGGCCATACAAGATGGAACAATAGTTTTAATGGGAACATATGATGATGGAGCAACCAAGTATGTAAACTTGAAACTTTACAGAACTTTTTGGAGCTATAATTTGTAATTATGAAAGCAATGCATTTTCATAAAAAAAAAATCTGTAACATAAAGCAAAGTAATCAAACTGCCAGATAAACACAACTTAACAATTTTTTTTTTTTACTTTGCCTCCTTCCTGGTTTTCTATGTAAATGTTTATCACACATATATTGTCATGAAGTTAGAATCACATCATATATAACATTTTTTATGCTTTCATGTTCTGCTTTTTAACATTCTGAAATTGTTTTTCCTGGCATTAATATTCTTCAGTAGCATTTTTATGGTTCATCAGCAGTTGTGGGCTCACCTTTATTTAAAAGTTTCCCTATTATTATGTCATTAGGGTAAATTTCAAGAAATTGAGCTAATTGTCAAAGATACAAGTGTGCTGTATTTTAAATAAGTTTAATAAATAATACTTTTTTAACTTTTTCTTAAAATAGTATATGTTGTAAAAATTTGGAAAATACAGAAAAGCGCAAAGAGACCAAGTTCCAGTCCATCTCACTACCCACTGTAAACATTGATGATATTTTAGTTTCCATTCCAGATGACTTAACACACATGTTTTTTTGGCTTTAACTATTTAGAATGCTAGTATTTGTAGCACATCTCTTCACTTACGTGGTGAATATTTCCCCTTATTAGTAAATATTCTTTATAAAAAATGTTTATGCCTGCCTAGTCTGGTTTTTAAAATGTCATGATTTATAACCTGTTTAATGGGCTGCCTGTTGCTGGACCCAGGCTAGTTCCAATTTTCGTACTTAGCAAAATATACTGTCTTAGAAATGTTTAAACAGTCCATATCTATTTCTTTAAGATAGACTTTTTTTTAAAAGTAGAAATGATCAATTAAAGGATGTGCAACATGTTTTTAAAAATGGATTTTTAAAAATTTTTTACCAATTTTATATTTTTCTCAGAAGTTCCATGGCACCGATTGTTAATTTTTTTAAGTTTCTATTTTAAGAGTTTGAAACGGTATCTTAGTCTACTATGCCTTTATTATTGAGATTGGATTTTTTTCACAAGTGTTTTATTATTTTTTTTTTTTACCCTTTTATGTGAATTGTCTTTTGACCATTCAGCTTGGCCTATATTGACTTGTAAGACTCCTTTATGTTTTAAGGATATTAACCATTTCTAATGTAAAAAGAAATATATTTATTGTACATTATTTGCTTTTAATTGTGTTAGTGTAGGGTGCCTTTTGAATTTTAGAATTTTAGACTAATGCCTATATAGTCTATGTATTTTTCTATCAGTCTGATCTACTTGTATACTTGAGAAGTATTTTTCCACCTCCAGATTAGATATTTAGTAGATTTTTCTCTTCCAATGATTTTACTGTTTTCATGTATTTTTAAAAACCCATTTGTAATTTCCCCATGACATACAATGCCTGTGTTCTTATGTAGATGTGGCTTTATCTCTGGAATTTCTGTTCTGTTCCATTCACTTGACCTATTTATCTCTGTTCCAAAAAGACACTATTTCAATTATTTTAAAATTGTTTTATAAAAGTAATTGGACTTCATGCCTCTCTGGTTGAGATTAAATCCCCTTTAATATTCTTTCTAGAAAAAAATAATTTTTTCTCTGACTTTTCTTAAGACGACTTATCCAAGGATAAAAAACATCTTTTATAGATTTTAATTGACAGAACCTTAATATGACAAGATTTATACAGAAATGTGCCATGTCTTTTTAATGTATTGATTTTTATAAATGTATTATTTTATAGCTACATTATCACAGATTTACATGAAGAAAACAGTGCTACTTTATAAATGGTTGTAAGCTGAAGTAATTTCATTGACATTGTGCATTTTATCGGGTTCAACTAAGAATATATTAAATCCATAAATTGAAGGTTAACACAAAACTTGCCTATTCAAGCATTTTCATCCATTTAAATAGAATGAAACACGATGTAATTAGGCTCTCATCAGAAAACAGGTAGCTAACTGTTTGCTTTTGCTGAGAGAATAGGCTATTATGTGTAAAATTTGAAGTTTTAACATTAAAAAGAAAACGCCCCACTTTTCTGAATTGATAAACATGACCTCCTTTTTTCACCAGATTATTTTGTTATACCTGATGGGAATCAGAATTGCTCCCCTTAATCTGCTAATATGCCAACAATAAATTATAACCACAACTAAGAACTAGGGGAGGAATGATGTTTACTTTTTAACTGCTATTTTTTTGGTGCCCATTAAATGCACCAAAAGCAGCTTTGGAAGAGAGAGTTCAACCTCTAGGGCAAAAGGAAAAATCTAAACTTTAATTTCTTTACATTTGGTCACCTGGTCAATATATGATTCATCTTCTGTGAATTTAAATGAATTGAGTTGTATGAGTTTGGGGCACATGAATTTATATTTCAAATATTTCCTTTTTCTAAATACTGGTAAAAGAAATTGTAAGCATCATATCTTTTATGCTGAAATGGACAACATCCTTATGAAAAGCAATCTACATCTATTATATATAAATACCTTTTATCTTGGCAAGTGTCTGATTGTGGCACATTTGCAGTGATTTACCAGTTGTGTTGTATACCCTCTCTTATATATGAATAGAAATCTTGCTTACTGCTGCTGATGTGTTATGGCTTTTCCTTATTTAAGGCCATTGAATTTTACCTCATTTTCTTCCACTTATACTCAAGAAAGTTAAGTGTGTAAACTGAATGTCCCAGCTCTGTCCAAGAGAGAAAGTTGGGTGGCATGTTGACCAGAGAAAGCAGTACCCAGCTCTCTCTCTCTCGTCGTCTCTGATCCTAGTTTCTTTTAATCATAATGAGCCCGTTTTGCAGTGCTGTGAACTTCAGCAGATTGACTAGGACTAATCTTCATCACATTATTTCCCAGAGTGTGTTTGGTAGAACCCCAGTCCTTTACAGGTACATGTAATGGTCAAAGAAGTTTGAGGATGGTGCCTTATATTGTACCCCTTTTGGGGATTCACAGTGAATGGCTCTGAAGTTCTGCCCTAAAGAAACTTCTTTTCCTTTGTTAATCATGGTGTTTCTTGATTCTATGAAGCCCATTTAAAAAACAAGATAGAGAAAAACATACATCTAAGAAAACTTACACTTCAGGGAGTACAGTTATCTAATGATGCCTACTTTCCACCCCGACCCTTACTAAAATGAGTTGTTCTTTGTTTGTAAAGGAGATAATGGTTTGAATGAGCAAGCTAAACTTGCCAATTGTATTCTTCCTTTTGGAGAGAATACTCTATGACATGTTATGCCTAAGTGAAGGCTTCAGTATGAATGTCTTAGAGTAAGAAGGGATCTTAAAGGTCACCTAAAGCAGCATTGGAGCCTGGGCAAGATTCCCTTGTTCTCTATGAATACATCTACTTAACCCCCTACCTACTTAATGTGTCAGTACCCTTTTATTTCTCCATTTGAAATAGATCGAAACAAAATATTCACAGGACAATGTTATGTTCTCAGAGTGGTCTCCCTCTAAATTCTGCCTGATGTTCTTTAATTTGGATAGATGGAACAACAAAACAGTAAGTGTATTCCCCAAATCATTTGATACTTCAGGTATTTGAAGCTAACTGGTATTTTTCTTTTAGTTTTCTCTTTTTCCGGCTTAATACACAGGCTCTTTTAACTTTTTATCATGTATAGCTTCTAATTTGTTTCATCCTTCTGGCTGGATTTCTTAGGCATTCTCTAGTTGATTATTGTCTCTCTTAAAATGAATGCATCACATCAAACACAGGGTTCCAGATGTGGTCTGGCCAGTACAAGGTCCGATGCAGATGCTAGCTTACCATGTTTTAGAGATTACATTTCTTTGAATATTCATGCAGACTAGAATTGTATTAGTTTTCTTTAAACAGTCACATTACATTTTTGGTGCGTGAGTTTTTGGTCAAGTTAAATTCTCAGATCTTTTTATTTGATCTCAGGCTTTTTTTTTTTTCTAAACCACTGTCAAATCAGGTCTTTCTCTTCATTCAGAACTTGATTTTGTTTAATCTAAATGAAGGCCTTTATTTTCATTTATCCTTGTTAAATTTAATTTTGCTGATTTAGGCCCACTTGGTCTTGATTCTGACATTCGTCCTGTGAAGTTTCCATGATCCAGGCTTTGTACTCTCTCCAAAGTCATGCTTATGTCTAAATATAAGTCATTGATAAAAATGTTTACCAAGGGTGGTGTGCCACCCTGCTAGCGGCTTCCTCCAAGGGATGCATCTTTTAATCAACTGCAAAAACTACTTTTCAGACAGCTGCCAGTGTACACTACCAGGAATACCATCCAGCTGCTATTTCATTATTTTATGCATAGAGGTTATTTTCCGAGATTATCACATGCTCACTTGAAATTCATGGACTGTGCTAATTACAATACCCTGATCTATTGCCTGAAAACCTCTTCAAAAGCTGAAATAGTTGAGATGACGTTAACTTGACTTTACTTATTTCCCTCTCCTTCCCACTAGTTTCCCTTTGTTCCCCTTTCTTTCCTTATTGCTTTTTAATGCTCGCAGGATCTTTTTGTCATCCCTTCAAGGATTTTGTTAGGAATTCACATTAGTTTTATTGGACCATTATTTCTAAAATTTTCTTGCCTTTTTTGAAAACGGGGATATTTTGATTTTAATGTCTTAGCATCTCTCATTTTCCATGATCCTTCTGAAATAACTGACACTACCTTGATGATTATTTCAACAAGTTCCTTTACAATCTAAAAGTGTGGAGCTGGGGTGGGGGTTTACAGGACTGGAGGCTTAAATTTACCTTAGAGCACTTACATGGACTTCTTGAGCTACTATTCCCTTTTTATGTTGATGAAAGAATGTTTGCCTCCCTGGAAAAGATAGTCATGCTTTGATCTGATGGTATATCATTCTCGTGAAACAGCGAGTCCCTTTGTTATTCACACTTAGTAGCAGAAGCTGTTTCTGTGTGTTTTAATAATTTTATGAGTTTCATCTCATTCTGAGCACTACAGGTCTTCCTGGTGAGTAGTATTAAAAATGTTGTCATTAGTAATGTGGTTTGCTTTGTATTTTTGCACACTTCCTTTCTTAAGTTTGAGCCCATCATAAAACATTCCTTTATGGTAGCACTAATTTAGAAACTATGTTCCATTTTTTTCTGGGAGTGTTAGCAATTATATAGTGAAAATTACAGAGTTTTTCTGTTTGTTTTTAAAGAGTCGTATTCCCTCATAGAAATTTCTAGTCTGAACTTTGTATAATATGTTCTCTTTAAAGTCTAGGCTGGGTCGCCATTTATGCCTTATATAGTTAGCATTTCTTACTCTTCAACGCCCTGAGGTAATATGGTGATTTTCTTCCAGAGTTTCTGGCATTTCTCCTTCCCAGCTTGTTCTTCCCTATTAATCAGAATTGAGCCGCTAATATTGTCCTTCTTGCTTTCTGTGCTTCCAGAAAGGCAACATTGGCTTGGTTTGATGGTGCAACTGTAGGACCGTCCGATGTGCCTCCTTTCCCAGCAAGGATTGAGGCAGAACCCACAGACTCCTGTGTCCAGTTCTCACTTCCTCCCTTTCTAGTTTAGATTGCCTCTAGGCAGCGATTGTCTTCTAGCAAAACCTGATACCGTTCTCAAACTCAGGGTGCTCCTATGTGGAATAAAAAGCTTGTATCTCCAGCCTTTATGCTATATAAAAATATATTTGCTGCCCTGACTTTTTTTAAAAAGGGGCATTTTGACATTTCCTATCTATTCAATTAAACACTGGCTATGTTACATGATTTTAAACTTTTGAAATGTAAAAGTTTTTTTACTTAAATAGAAGATATCTAAAAATAATAATAAAATTATCCACCAAATTCTATATAGGCAGATCAGAAAGTGTTCGAAGTCATTGACAAAATCATCTTGTTGTAAAACTCTAATTAGATATACACGGGGCTATGTGTTAGACATCCCCCAAATCACCCCCAGTTTTGACAGTTCTCCAGTAGGTCTCATGGCTGTGATTTGTTAAAGCAAAAAAACACAAAGCAAAATCAGCAAAGGGAAAAGGTTCATGGGACAAAGTCTAGGGGGGGAAAAAGGAGCCTTCTCCCAAGTGGAGTCAAACAGGACATGCTTGCTTCTTCCAACAGCCAGTTAGGACAACACATGGGAAATGTTGCCTGCCAGGAAGCTTATTAGGGACTCGGTGCCCAGGGATTTCATTAAGGGCTGGTCATGTAGGCACCCTCTGCCAAACCTGTTCCAAAATACCAGACTCTCAGAGAGAAAACAAGTGTTTAGCATAAATTGCATTGTTTTTGCCCATACTTTAGACACAGTGAACCATTCTTAACAGTTTTGAAAATGATAGGAGCCCTCCCCAAATCCAAGTGGCCAGATGCCAGCCAGGGGTCAGTCTTGCCAGTAGGCCTTTCTAAGCTCAGGCCTGCTCTGTTAATGCGTATCTGCGCAGGATCTCATTATCTTCTAATGGAAAAGCAAGGAAAAAGATTAATGGAGTTAAAACATAAAGCTCAGTCTTTAAGTTTCTCCTAGATCTCTGGCTTGATTGTAAGTCAGCTTGGTTTATTTAAACAGATCATAATGGTCACTTCTGAAATTCAGGGGTACAAAAATCAGAATGCCTGACTGCCCTTCAACATATTTCTTAGTTGTTGCAAAATTCTTGGATAAGATTTTACTTTTGGCAGGGGGCTAGACCTGCATTTGGATAACCTCCTACTTTGCAGGGAGTTTTTCCTGTATAAAGCAATCTCTTAACATTTGTGAACTTCACATTCATTATTTCAGCTGTTTATGAGCCACCCTAAAGGCCTAAGAGATATCGGTTATAATTTTTTTGAGATGTAAATGTGAATGGAACCCCAAAGCCTCTGCAGGAGGCAGTCCACTTAGCTGACCACTGAGCCTACTGCCTGTGCTCTGCACATTTCAATACTATTTATTCTTGTTACAGCAGCAAAACTCATCGCTAGTGCTGATGATGCAAGTGTGGACTTCTATAAGATAATTAGAAATAGAACATTTGGATAAACTACACAAGTGGAATTTGACAGTCTTTTAGATCCATGGCATCCCAGTAGCATTTGGAAACAAGAAAACAAGGTTCAGGTGACAATTTTGGGGCATTTCCCTCTAGCACAAAGGTTGCTTATCAAGTGAGCAAACAAGTGAAAAGTGATGGATAATTCATGTAAGGATGGGCACAGGAAATGGCTGCAGAGGAACTGTGGAGGGAAAGCCAGCGCATATGCACAGATTTCATGTGAAGTCTTCACAATCTTCACAGAGGCTGAGATTGGTTCTTCTGCACAGTCATTTCACTTCTTTTTAGTTCACTTGGCTATAAATGTACCACTTTATATAGGAAGTGAATCTGAAAGGCTAAATACTCCACAGGCTATGGCTTATTTTCTTGTTGATTCTAATGAACTTCCTCCAGGTGGACAGCAGTGCCCAGGCTGTGGCCAAAACAGCTCCACAGACCCCACGGATGTGGCTCACATCAATCACGAAAGTTTAATGATATATGTAGTTCTTTCCTGTTTTATGAAGCTTTTTTTAAGAAACCATGAGTATCCCTTTTTCTTTAGTTAAATGAGAACTGTTCTATGTAGTGTTTCTTTCACTAAGATATTAAAGGAGCTAACTGATACTAGCATGAGATGTTTGAAAGAACACTGTAGAATGAATAAGTACCTTCCTCACTGACTTTCCTGCTGTTTGAAAGTATAAAACTTGCCTTGCCTCAGGTTTTAGCAGAACAAACCTCTCTGAGTGACTTATTAGAGCTATCTTTTGTGCAGTATATAGGACTCAGTGCCAAATAGGTGTACAGGTGGCCCTTAGTTAATTTCTTCTTCTTCTTCTTCTTCTTCTTTTTTAAGCTCTCTAGCTAGCATTTATCTACTGAGTTTCTTTTCTCCTTAGAGATAAAGGAAAGAAAATCATTGAACATTAGGATGATCGCTTACACAAAATTTTTTAGTGACATCTTTCAATTAGTAGTTACCCTAGTGGTTGACTTTTGTCACTGCTCCTCCTGCTAGTAGACATTTAGCTGCTATGTGGTTAATATTTTCATTTTTATTAAGTAACCACTTGGCAGTTATCACTGAAGTACAGTTTATATCCCTGTTCTCAAAATTCATTTTGTTTTAAATAAAACGTAGTGTTAGAAACATATAGATTTTTGTCAGCATTTACCTTTATTCTGGTCAAATGTAATTTACAGAGGGTTTAGTGGAGATTCAAAAAGATTATTAATTTTATAAAAGTATTGATTGCTTAAGACCTTGGATTAGCCTGAGTAGACATCTACTAACTGTGGTATCCCTTATTTATTTGATGAGTATAATTTAAAAAGTTAAATGAAGGTGAATTGTTGTGAAATAAAAACCTAACAGGTACTTTCTAATAGAATAAACTTCAAATTAATTGTTGGATTTCATGTCTTTTGTCACTAAAGAATTCAACCGGTAGAAATGTTACTCTGTGACGAAAAAGTTATTTTCCAAAATGTTCTGTTATTTAGTCTCATTTTGTCTCATGTTTTGTGTTAATATCCTAGTGAATCAGTATTTGCATACAGTACCCTCTGTTTATTGTTGTATTCTTTCTCTCCCTCTTCAAGACTCAATGATGAGGCACGGCGGCTCATTGCTGAATTGGGGAGCACATCTATTACTAATCTTGGTTTTAGAGACAACTGGGTCTTCTGTGGTGGGAAGGGCATTAAGACAAAAAGCCCTTTTGAACAGGTTAGTGTCTTAGACTCTCAGAATTAACAAAAACAAATTCTATGAAACCTTACGGTACATATTCCCATCCCAGCTATTTGAAAATCAGATAAAGCAGATAGTAAATATGATCATATATTTGTCATAAATTCTTGGTAATCAGTTATTTGAAATAACCATCGTACTTTTCAATTCAAAACTTAAAAATTCTGCACGGGAATATTTTTTCCTACAGGACAATGCGTTGGAATAGGATTACCTATCTTAAGCCTTTTAGGAAGCTTTAATTATTAAGGATTTTAATTGAGCTTTGGATTTTAGAATCAGTTAAGCTTTGAAATATTTTAGAACTTAGTAGAATGTAAATGATAGTTTTTGACTAGCAAATAATCCTTTAAAAGCATCTGCAATGTATTCTTTCAGCTGTTATTTGAAGGTCTGCCATGTATGTGATACAACCTGAGGGTCACTTATTTAATATCTTGACCAGTAATTTAATAAAACTCATTGTTGACATGAGTATTACTGAAATGAGAATGTGTAAAATGTTACTGCAAATCAGCAGTTTACAAAGGTTTTTTAAACTGTGTATTATTACTGTGTTCCAATAGCACATAAAGAACAATAAGGATACAAACAAATATGAAGGATGGCCTGAAGTTGTAGAAATGGAAGGATGCATCCCCCAGAAGCAAGACTAATGGAAATGTGGAGAGAATTGAAGAAAGCGCACTTTCACTATTAATGGGAGAGCTGTGTGTAAATATTTTAAGAGCATGCAGCCATCTTTGTGTGTGCATGAGTATTGTCTCTTTTGATATCAGGATTATTTATTGCTAACGTAAATAGATAGCATTGTAAATAGTCATCACAATGATCAAATCACTGAACCATGTCTGCACATTTCCCTAAAAGTACAATGTTTAGACTGCTGTGGTAATACGTATTTTAAATTCTAAAAGCATACCCAATGTGTAACTGAACAGATCGTGAAAAATATATTGATATATATACTAGTTGCTGTGAAAATATCATGGAATAACATGGATTTTAGGGTGGATACTTTATTTTCTTTTATACCTCTATATATTGCCTTGTGATGACATTATCTTTTAAATTAAAAAGAGATTTGGCTAGTTGTGTGTGTAATGTTACTTTACAGTCCGACTCTCCTGATGTACCTCTTTTCATGATCTTTTTCTTTCCTTCCCAAGAAACTGAGGAATGTTTAATATGAAAACACACATTGGATATGTGAAAAGCACAACAAAATTCTTAATGTACACAGTAAAAAGTAAATATATAAATGTAGATGGCATTTAGGACCACAGCTTGCTGGATTTGTGTTAGCTATTGGAATAACTTGATTTTGTATAAGCTATTTAGAGTGAGGCTGGAGGTGGCAGTTTTACAGAACTGGAGAACCAGGCCAAGTCCCCTCCCCAACCTAATTAGGTCATTCAGGACAGCTAAGTCAGTATATTTAGAGCAATACTAGCATATGTTTTTCTTAATTGTTATCAGCATTGACCAAGTGGTTTGGAAAGAGGCATGCTTTAATATCACAATAATTTTGATTTGTAAACCAAGAAATTAATCCTGTGTTTATCTAACTTCATAATAGCAGTTATTGCCCGAAGCTATAATGGCATATTTACAAAAGTTCTTATTACTGGGTGGACTGATAACATTTAAAAAATAATTGTGTTTGACCCCAAATGACTTTATACCCAATTCTACATAAAAATATAGAAGATCTATCTTTTTTGTTACTTTCAGATGTTCACTAACTCAGTTTTTAAGCAGACGTTTTCAGGGCATTAAATATATGTTGTGTATGAAATATCTCAAACTGGAACATAAATTTAGTGATCAAACTGCCATTCATAATGTAAGGCAACACTTAAATTTCGAACCTAAATTTTAAATGGATTGTATAAAAAATCCTAAAAGCAGTATCTGTTATTTAGCTGTAAACCAAGTTGGAAGCTATTCAGATAATTTCTTAAATATTGATGAACTTTGGAGTACTGTTTCTTCCTTCAAACTGAATGTAATTTATGAATAAATGCACCTTATATGTTTAAACAATTTTTGTATACTTTTGGGATTTTTGGTGCTTATATGCTAAATCACATTCAGCATGTGTATTTTGACATTTAAAATACTTCTCTCAATTCTGTAAATTAAAAGAATAGTTATTTTACAGTTCTAGGGATTGTGAAATAAATGTCACTTTTTTTAAAATAATGAAAATAAATACTCTTGGTTTTGCTTTGTGAATTTTTTTTTTGTATTATCTAGCAAAGTAATACACCTACAGAACTTCACAAAAACTCACACAAGGTTTTTCAAGTATTTATTATACTAACTTGGAAAAAAATTGTTGCTGTGGTTAAAAATAGTAATATCCAAATGTGTCTTAACATGTAAGAAGTTAAGTAGATGGCAGGGAAAGCCCTTTTATTAAGACTGTAAAAGGATAGATTTTCCAGATACATAAAATGTCAAAAGAAGACAAAGATTGGTTATGTAACTGGTGTGGTTTCCTTTTGTCTCAGTTCAATCTTGTATAGATTGTGCCAACTTAACTTGAAAGCAATAACTTTATACTACATTTTCAGATACCTCTTTAAAATCGGTTTTAGACATGAAACAGTGCTCATTTAATGTTAAGAATTTTCTTTGTTAAATTAACATTGACATAGTTTTGAAATGGTGCTTATGGGCTTATCAATGCATATTTTTTATTTGTAATCCGATGCTGTCCCAGAATAAGTGTATTGTAATATGAATGTTAAAATTGAACAGAGACAGCAGGAAAATAAGTGGTATTTGGGAAATTAAAGAAAAATTGAACCAGAGTCTTTACATTCCTGAATTTAATTGGATTAATGTGAAATTTATCATTGTTCTTTCTATATTTGACTTGTTTTTAAGTGAATCAGCTGTTTTATAATTTTATGACAGATCAAAGCTGAGTTCATTTAGCCTGTATTGCTCTTTATACTTTAAAAATTTACATAAATTATAAATAACCTGACCAACAAAGTTATAATTTCAGTTTGGTCAACAAACTGTCCCTTAATTGAATGCAAAATGTGCTGTATTCAGTTAGTAGAGCAATTAAAAGTGGAAATTCATTTAGAATAATTTTTCAAAGGAATATGAGAGAAATTACTTGTGTTGATTAGGGAGAAGATTTGCCATTTAAACCTCTTCAATTATTTCAACCTCTTGTACAGCAATAAATCCATGTAAATTTAGAGCTATAGAGTAACAGATTGCACCTTTGCATTCTTCAAAAGGATTCTCTCTTCAGAATGATTTTTCTACCACATACTTGATTTTTGATGAGCATATGCTATAACTAGTTAATTTCTATTTCCCTCAAAACTCTCTCAATTTAAGCTTTTCTCTGCTTGCTCCTTATTGTGATCCTTTTTTTTTTTTTGAGTTTCCAGTCAAAGGCTAGATGGAGTGAAAAGTAAGCAGGCGTCGAGAGGGAGTGTCAGTCATTTGTTGCTAGAGAGCATGAAGAGAGCATCATAGGATGGTTCAGGCAGCATGGGAAAAGCCCTCCAGGGAATGTAAGAGGCTCTTCTGCCATCAGAACCTTCCTCCAGGCCAGTGAGGGAGCAGACACCTTGAGGGAAGCTATACTGGGGAAACACTTGGAACAGTTAGATATCTCTTCTATGAGTGGTCAGAAAGGAAAAGGGACTGGGAAGTTCTCAGGTTAAAGACAGAAGAGACGTTTCTCTCGGGCTTGTCCCATGGCAGTTTATAAGCAAAGTTAGCGTGGGGAAGACATCTTCGCAGTACAACTAGTTCACGGGTGCAACTTGTTGCCATTACTAACCTCACTGTTCATCTGCATCAGTTGTGCCAGCCACTGGGGTGCGTTTAATATTGAAAGAACAATCTGAAGCTAAATTGATAAAAGATACTTCCTTTAGTCAGGGAAAATTGACTTACAACCTGCAAGCTCATAATGTTTCGTATAGTCTGCCCATATTTCCTTCACTTGATAGCCAAAGAGAAAAAGGGCTGAAAAACCTTTAAAGAGGAGAGAATTCTGTAGCGGGGAGACAGTGTGGCATAGTGGTTAAGAGTGCAGACTTGCCTGAACATTCGTCTCTTCCACTGTGAACTACTTGAGGACTTTGAGGAAGTCAGTGTCCACCTGTAAAACAGGGATAATACCAGAATGTTTGTGGTGCCTACCAAAGTGCCTGGCACAAAGTACTCATTCAGTGCAACTGCTAGTATTGCTGTTATTAACCATGTGTCTTCCAGGCATCTTAGCCCAAAAGAAGATGTAACAAGTCAGCCTCTCTAGCTTTCCAGTCCCATCATAGCCAGAAGGGAGCCATTAGATGACTTGAGCAGTAAGATCATGGGAGAGGATTCATTCATCTCTTCACCTGAGTTTCTCCTTGACCTCCAAACCTCTAACTTCATATTCTGCCTGCCTTTTCACTTATTACACATTGACACCAACTCCCCTTCATAGGTAGAATTCAGGCTTTTGTGTATCTCCAGGTAGCTAGCATTTTAAATGGTTAGTTTATCTCCATGTATTTTGGTGTATCTTCAGGTAGCTAGCATTTTTAATGGTTCTACTTGATTGCTGGTCTGGCCTTTAGGGGAAAGTATGTGACTTTAGCCAAAGAGGCTGGGAGCCCTTGCTGACCTCTTCTTGTGGCAGCAGCTGGTTGATGAGCCTCACTAGAGTGCAGACCTTGATCCCTGCTCCTAATGACCTCACCACCCCAATTCCCGCTGCAGGGCAGGGTGGCATCTGATCACAGTGGGGAAGATGCTGGGGCTCAGCTGGCCCTCTCTGACGCAGAACAAACTCAACAGTGAGGCCAGTGACTTCCCCACCAAACTGTAGCCTCCTATATCACCCATGGAATAAGATGGCCGATTTGGACATCTACCTGTTGAAAAGAATTGCTCTGTTTTCCATAAGTATATATCCCTCAAAGCAGAGGAGACTAATGCTCACCCTTGGGAATCTTGTCTTTTAGCAAAAAAGCCCAGTGTGAGCCTGTGAAGTTCTCTGATTGTAAAACTTCACATGAATTTTGCATTTTTTTTTTTATTATTTACAGATGTTGGTATTAACATGGAAATCTCAAATTATTTTAAATTTCAACTCCAAAAACTACTTAGCTTGTGTGTGCTCTGTTTTTTGGAAGGCTGGTTACAGAAGTATTATGTGCTCTATTTGGCAAGAACAGAAAGGAATCCCAAGGAGAATGCATTGCGAGTCCAAGCTCTGAGAAGAGGAGAGATTTAAAAGCAAATGATGGTTGGGCTATGGTTAGAAATATGTTGGGTTAGTGAGTGGAGAAGGCAGTATTCCCTGAGAGTTGTGGTTTTCAGTGGGTAGAAGTGGGAGAATCAATTGGTGAGGATTTCCTTAAGTGTAAGGAATGAGCAAGAACTGGGCCTTAAGTCCTGCCTCCTCCTTACCTGGGGAGTGCAGCCTGCCCCAAATGGCTTCCTGTTCTCCCTTAGGGAAAGGACTTAAGATTTAAGGTAAGTGAGCTCATCCCTACACTTCTATGGAAATCTGAAACTTTTGACCAAGAATGAGATCGACAGCTAATTCTCGTGGAACTGTTAAGACCTTACAAAAGGGTGTTAAAGTTATATTATGGAAATAGTCTGGATTAGGTTCCCTGTGATTTTAAAGCACTGGGTGTGTTGGATATAGGCACAGTCACAGGAATTGTGGCAAGTGAAATTTTGAAATCATTCCTACATTTTAAAATATAGTTTCTCAAAAAATGATGAATTGGGCATTTGGGGAAAGCAAAACAACTTTAAGCCAGTGAAGGAAATAATTTCTCACACTGAGAACTGAAATGTATCTTTCAGTTTGCAAAGTTCCTGTACCCATTAAGTAGGGGACATGTTAGAGAGGATTTGTCCCATTCACTTCTGCAGGTTTCCCATTTTGCTATTGTGTCCTGTGCTATTTCTTGTCTTGCATAGAGCCTTGTTTGCCAGGGAGTTTGAGATAAAACAATGACAGTGGATAGGACTAAGAGAAAGTAAAGATTATGTACTGGCAATACATAGGTAGTTATTGATTTCCATTTTGTATATCTACACCTTTCATTGGTTTCCAGAGAATTTGAGGTGTATTTAAATGTACTAGTATATTTGGTGATACTTCTCTCACCAAAGAGTAATTAGGGGCAACAAGGATCTGCCCTTTCTTCTTGGTTAAACAGGGCCAAGTAAATGTGGGCCATGATCATGGGTGTCAGGTGGTTACTAAAATGTGGAAGGAAAGGCTTCTTGGCCTCTGTGGAGTAGAGTTACCGTGATGGTTCTGAATGGCCATCTGACAGGGAAAAAGGCAGCCCTCAGCCACTGCCCTTTGTGCCTTTCCAATTCACATACACGAATCAGATGCTTTTACTTACTCTGCGAATTATAAAGTCACACATGAAACTTTAGTTTGTGTTGACTTGATTCTCCTTTATTACTTTACAAGAGAGGCCACTTTTGCTAGTATGATTTTGTTTCAAAAGGTTTTAATCTGGTGCAAACCACCTCTAGTGGTTTTCCTTTGGATATGAATGTAAACCATTACAAATAGTAAATTTTAATCCATCTTTTAAAAATAACACCTTATGTAACATTTGGCTGTAAGCACAACAATAAAAAGGATGTAAGTATTTATTTTATGTCACACTAAATTAGTTTGATCTTTCCCCCTAGTTATTTTCTTTTGGAATGGTTGTTAGATTCTTGCACAATCCAACTGTTAACTACACTGCAATCTAAAATAGAAGTCAGCGTAAGTCACTTTGGGCTTAGTAATCAAGAGGCAGTGTATTTTAATTTTATTTCATAGTAAATTCTAAGATCTCAGCTCTCCCATCACTTCGCTCCCTACTTTTCAACCAAGTTTATATAACCAAACCATGAAGAACATCCTGTAACTTTCATTACATTCATAAATCCCCTAAACTCTTTAAATGGCATATGTTTGTAAACACAGTCTGACAATTTTGATACTGTGAGAAGCACAATAACAGTGTGGTGGTTAAGGGCACAGACATTGAAGCCAGATATTTTGTGTGACCTTGGGCTGGGAACTTACTGTGTGTCTCAGTTTCCTCAGCTGTAAAATGAAAACCACAATAATGTACCTACTTTAAAAGGTTGTTGTGAAGATTGAATTTTTATATGTATCTCTCTATATATTTTTTACTTAGACTAATACGGGTATATACTAAGTGCTATGGAAGTATTTG